ATAATAATAATATTCTAAGATAATTAATAAATAATAAATAATAAAATAATAAACTAATAATAAATTCATTCTATAACAATATTAATAAATATTTGATATAACCAAATCTTATAAACGCACTTATATAGTTTACGATTCCGACAATATCATAATTTTTCTATTAAAATAAATTTTTATTAGATTTGTTGATGAAATAAATATCAATTAATCAACCAATTAATCAATCAATTAATCAATTAATTAATTAATTAATTAATTAATTAATTAATCAATAAATTAATCAATCAAATTAGAGATGAAGATCGGTCAACATTTCATTAATCGGTCACTGATCGATTATATGCATAACAGATCGATACTTTGATCGATCACCATGTTTTGACCAGTCATATTACTTTGATTGATCACCATATCGTGATCGGTCATATTACTTTGATCGATTATCAAAGCTTTGATGGTTTGATCGATCATTATTCCTTGATCGGTCATATTTATATAAAATTGTTTTTTCTTTTATACGTTAATAAATAAAAAGATCGATTATTTGAATATAATAATATATTTATATACAATGTTAAATTGGCCTTTACCAAATTTGCAAATTCAAAATTTGCTTCGCAAACTTAACGAAGCAATAATCGAATCTTCCATTCAAGCTACATCTAATTATCATGCGACAAACTAGTTCAAGCTGAATGATTTAACATCCCTAATTGCTTCCCAACATTGTTGTGCTAAAACCAGAAATGAAGATACTAATAAGATATCTTCAAAGGCCTAAAAACAATCCTATTACAGAATTAAATCACCATTTCGGTGATACAGTGTGCGATTTAGTTTGCATTTGAATTATCGTGACAAGTTTTTTTGTTAAATAAAACTTGCTATTCTAATGACTAGAGCTGCGTTACAAAGTTATAATATAACACTATTTTTGCATAAGTTCAGTAACTGGATTTCACATAATTTTCATCACATTATACATAAAATACCAGCCTTACAAAAGTTCATAACATCTGACCTGAGTTGTAACCTCTATACTTAATATTTGAATATTGAGAATTTTTGAATTTATATTTTCGGAAATTTAGGACGGTCTGAAAACCATCTTTACTAATATGTATAAAGCTTTTATTGACCTTACTAAGCAAATATTTTATGCTATCTAAGCAAAATAACAAGGTCTATACAAAAAAACCCCCAAGATTTTATCTAATAAATTTCATAATTTTTTTTTTTTGTAATGTTTATATATTAACTCTGAAGGATTAATATATAAATGGTATCGATATTCATTTATGATCATTTCGTATTCCCCATATTGAAAAAAACTTATTTCTATCTCAATTACTTATCTATGAATTCTTTCTAATTTATTGCCAATATCTTCATATTCATAGAATATATTAAAATAATTTTAGACATATATTAAACAAAGCTTAAATATATAAAATAGATAAATTACCTGAATACTATATTTGAATTTTCTATAACTTGTGCTGAGGCGGATATAAAATAATATATTAAAATTATCAGATAAATAATATGCTATTCCTTAAATACGATATAAGGGTTAAATCGAATTACCTTAGAACAAACAAATGTTAGTTTGTAATATTTGGAAATATTGTGTCATATCGTTCTTGGTTTGCATGACAAAAAACTAATTTACTAAATGTTTGTGGTGTTAACCGAGTCCTTTTTTTAGTCATTATATTTTTATATTGTGAAAAGAGGCGCTCACAGGGAACAGAGGTGGCTGGGATCGCAAGGTATTTGTGGACAAGACTTGCCAATCTCGAAAGAGTATTTTTGTGAGCTGCCCATCACTGTAAAGGATTGTCCAAAGGTCCAATCGTTTCCATCATAAGATATTGATTAACCTCATTATTGTGTATCAAATTTTTTGAACTGCAGTAAAAACTGTTGATATAAATGATCCAGATAAATCAAGTGTTGCTTCATCCGATAATAATTCCAAATTTTCGTCACTTATCATTCGGTCATATTCCAACTTAAGACAATCTTGGCACGTTAATGTAGCGTCCTTATATTCATAATTTTTGCACCTTGGATCAATTGCCGTTGCGATAAGTAATATTTCATCATCAGAAAACTAAATTGTTATAAATATTTATTATAATTAGGCAAGTTACACGTTACTTTATGGAAAAATAGTTCGGAAGAAGAAAAAGCATTAATATCAAAATTAAAAAAAAAAAAAAAAATAATTAAATAAGAACTGATCTAAGAAAATGTCAGTCTAAGAATTTGAGAATTATCCGATTGATCATTAAAATGATTAATAAAAAATTAATCATTTTGATGATCGATCGGAGAATTCTCAAATTCCCAGACTGATATTTTCTTAAACCAGTCCTCAAATGAAACGAATTAATAATACAAAAGTGACGCATATCCCATAATATTAAGTCACGATGTTCTAAAAACTTTACCTTATAATACTTCAAAAATAACTTTGCCATTATTTTTTTAATGCTTTCGACCAGATCCGTTGTAACAACTGGAGACTTGAATTGTTCTGCATCTTCATCCAATTCTTCCTCATCATCAAATAAACTTGTTGAACTAGTATTAATATCTATCTGTTCATCTGTAAAATCACCGTTAATATCTTCATCTTCAAATTCTTTCAGTAAAGCATTCCGAAGAGTGCTCATCGTCGGATAAATAATGCTCATAGTCGGGTACGAACTGCCTGAAATATAATTCGTTATGTCATTAAAAGGTTTTAAAATTTTAATTATATTAGCAACTGCGCTCCACTCATCCTCAGTAATCATAATTGCTTTTAGACGTTTTCCATCTGCGATTGCATCTTTCTCCTGCTGAACAGTAAGCGAACTTGCAAGTATTTCAATGTAAGGTTTGAGCTTGAGCATTCGAACCCATGTATTATATGTAGAATTCTAACGGGTCACAATATCACTTTGTGTCCGCAACAAAGTATCATCTTCATCCTGTATATAAATTAATTGTTAGTTATAAAATAATAATAATAATGCGAGCGGTCTAGTCGCATCAAATATTTTCACTTATACTCATTTTACTGACGGCTCATTTCACCGACAAGTTGATTTCATCGACAAACTATTTCACTGACGGCTCATTTCACCGGCAAGTTTTTTTTAAAAACTGCATTAACCTTAACTTTAATTCTCGCCTGACCCTAACAACAATGACTAGAATTACTTTGTCGGTGAAATGAGTGTGGGGTGTCGGTGAAGTGATATTGAAATGAAAGGAACCGGTTTCGGATTGACTTTGAATTTACCTTTTCTCTATTCAATTGATGTTGTGCTTGAATTGATGATTGTACTGCCTCGAGACGTTCACTTTGTTTAGGTGCGGTAAAAAATTTAATCAAACGTTTCATCCGAGTAATTAGTGATTTGGCGGGCAAAAGCCCCTTTTGCACAATCAGATTCAATATATGCGCAGAGCATGGAACCCACTTAATACCAAGTTTATTACATGCTGATTTAATATTTGCCCCACTATCAGTTGTAATTGAGAAAACTCTACTTTTTAGATTCCAATGTTCAAGAACATCTTCAATGCATTTCGCAATTGCATCACTGGTATGGGATATTTAAGGGAAGTAACTGCTAAAACAGCTTCATTTAGTTCGAACATTTCATTAATCCATGTTACCGTTATGCCTAGATAACCATTACGCGAATGCGCTGTCCATAAATCTGCAGTTAATGACACGGTTTCAGCTTTATATAAGTCATCCCGCAGACGAGAGCAGATTTGTTCAAATCCCTCATCAATTAGACTCTTAACCTTTCCCCTACTTGGTACAGTCCAACGTGAGTCCACAATTTTCGCAAATCGCTTAAACATTTTATCTTCTGTAAATGAAAATGTAAGATTTTGGGAAATAACAACTTCAATGATAGCCCTATCACGAATGGCCTGTTCAGTTATGCTATGCGGCTTCGATAAAGAAGCTTCAAATGCCTTTGTAATGGTTGTCTGTTTTTTGTTTAACTAAAAAAAAAAAATAAAAAAATAAGCTTTATTAACTGGTAAGGCTTTGATTGCACTAATTAAAAAAAGCTTACTTGTTGCTCGGTCTTTCCAGAGTATCCATGTTCAATCTTAAGGTGTCTCCATAGGGCTGTTGTAGAATTGCCGGTCTTTACTTTAGTATCACAAGGCTTTTTATCTGCCATTTCAACATTACACTGACCATGCCGAGTATTATCGACATATATTTCTTCGAACCACTTCCAAACGGGGCTACGAAGTAAAGATCCACCAAATTTAGATACTTTTGAGCTTTTGGAAGTATCGCTTGATTGTCCAACTGATTCATCTTGCGTGTTAACTTTTTGACGCTTATACAAAACTCGTTTGTTATTAATATCAACTGAATTAGTCTCATCATGTTCAGAAATTCTTGTGTTTTTTTTTTCACGTGTGTACATTAAATCGAATGCATTTCTCGTTCCCGATGCTGCTTTTAAATCACAATTACGAAAAGGATCGGGAGGCTGTTTTCGTAACTGAGAATATGAAACTGGAAGTGGTATTGCCACTCTTTTTTTTTTTTTATTTAAATATTTTTCATGCTTACTAATTGATGATTCTGAGTAATAGTTGGAACTAGTAGATACCGTTTCTTCCTCTGAGTTTAATTCTGACCTATATTCATCAGTTTCATAACCCTGGTAACTGTCTTGTGGTGCGTAATCTTGTGATGTATATTCATCAATTTCATTGCTCTGCCAAACTCTTTTTGATATTTCAACGCAATCTGTCTCTTGATCATACGTTTCTGAACTTATTACTCTTGTGGTTGCTGACGGACTATCCATGTTCTAAATAAATTAAAATTATTAATGAAATGAGCGGAAATTAAATAAAATATCAATTTTAAACTAACCTTTTCGAGGTTTTTTTTTTTTTCTTTTTTTTGTCTCCCTTTTATGCTAACTTTAATGTTTTTATTTTTTCTTTTTTTTTCCTTTTTGTTCTTTCCTTTTTTTTTTATATTTATTTTTCTAAGAATAAACTGGCAGCCAAATCTTGAACCGATTGGATAATATAATTATAGTTCACGCAGTTGTCAGTAGGATTGGAAATTATAGAATCCTTCACTAGAAACGTTGAAAGGACGATAATGATAGGGGAAATGTAATGATAAGGATCTCATGTTTAAATTTTGCTATTAATGTAGTACGCACATACACATGTCAGGTAAAACGCGACAATGGTAAATTGATTTAAAAAAAAATATAAAACCGGTTCTAAAACTTTAAATCATGTTAAATAAGAAGTTAATTAATATAATTCGGTGCTTTGTACTACATTTAAGTTACGAAACATTTATGACCGATCAAACCTCTATAATCGATCAAAGTCTTGTGATCGATTAAATTCCTATGATCGATCATGCTCAAGCAGAATTTCTAGATCGGTCACGATCAATTTGACCGAGTGATCGATCATCCTATAACCGATCTCCATCTCTAAATCAAATAATGTATAAAATATTACCTTGATAAGATAAGCGAAAATTAAAAAAGCTGAAAATATGATAGCTCCAGAAATATATTTTTTATCATTAGAAAAATAAAGACCGCTTGTTTTTGTAATTGACTTTGATTTTGATTAATATTTTGATTAATATTTTTATTAGGATTTTGATTAACTAATGAATTATTATAAGCTAAGTCTTGACAACTTTCATCAGTTTTGTTTGTTAATGAAATATTTTGATATTGTTTTGAGGATAATTGATTTGAGGAAAAGGAAGTTGAAGCTAGATTCACATTAGCTGAATCGACATTTTCCGATAGAACCAGTTCTTGATCGCCAATATCAGTTGAATTTTGGTCAGAGATATAAATTTCTTCAATGCTTACAAAAGATGCTCTACTGGAGTCTTTTGAGTCTTTTGAGTTTTTAGTTGTACGATTTTATATTAATTTATGAGAAAATAAGTTAAAGTTTATCAGTTTCTCTATGAAATAATATAAGTAAAATAGAAAAATTTTATACCATCAACAAATTGCCATGCTGCTATAAAAATAAGACTATTTACATATCCTTCTTGTTTTTTTAATTCCTCATCAATTAATCTTAATGCATTATAAAATGTAGATGATTGATCAGAAAATATTTTCTTGAAGAATATTTCATCGATTTAAGAGATTCAGGCATAAAATATTGATAACAATAGTTATAATATTCAGTGTTCATTAGAATAATATTTGGTAAAACTCTTTTTGTAATTTTTATGGGTGCCATTATGATGATTTCTTGTGGTATTGAGACTAGATCAGTTGTTTTTAAGATTTCAAAATTATGATTGAGTATTGAGATATTATTAGGTTTCTAAAAATGTAGATGAATCAAAGTATTTGAACTGTATTTATATATTAGAGACAAGAACAAAAGGCTATGTATGAAAATATAAATGAGTAATTTGTTTCAGAATCGTGTGAACCTTTTTTTGATTACTTTAAAACATCCAACAATTAAACAATCACCACAAACAAAAACTAATTACTGTAAGTTTAAAGTTTCCAAAATTCTGTGGTATATATTTTCTTGTATTGTATTTGATTTTAAAAAATACGTTTTATCTTACAAGGACAATTGATAAAAATATTTTTAGAGTATCTTTTGGTCACTCTAATTAAAGTCACATTTATCTTACTGAGACAATACTGTATTTTTAGAGTATGCATCTTATTGTTATCTACAGTAATAGTTAAATTTATACTAATTTTAAAGTGTTAAAAAAGTCACTATAATCAATAAACACATTTTTTCTCGTGATGTTTGTGATGTTTGTTGCTCATGTTAGTTCTATTGTGGATGATTGTTTAATTGTTGCTCTGTATTTTTGTTGTTCTTATAATTCAGTAATTGTTAGATGTTTTAAAGTAATAATTAAATTGAATATCCAATTGAAAGAAATTATATATTTAATTATATGCTCTTTATGCTTGACTTTTTGTTGTTCTTGCTATGATTATATAAATACTGCTCACAAAATACTTTTGATTCTTCACTTGAGAAACTTCATATTAGTAAAAATGTCTTTATTCAAAACAGAAAAGTCAGAATTTAGGAATCACTATCTACGTGACAGTCCTCAACATTCTCTGCCTCTTCAAAATAATATTCAACCCCAGTATCATAATAATATAATACTAGTTAATATTATTAACCAGCTTTATACTACCAACCGCATATTAACTATTATCAAAATTTCCATCATAATAATTTCTCAACTCATCAAAATAATTAACCACAATTTAATGATCCATCTATTGAACAATTAGTTAATGTTTTTTGCCAGCTGAACATAAATGAAAACAGCAGTAATCACACCAATCACGTAATTGAACATAAAAATAATAATCATGATCATGACAAAAATCAATCATACCAAGAAATCGTTAATCCAAATTGTATAGCAGCACATGTCATTAGTGCATGTTCAAAGTTCTGTACTTTTATTTTAGTTTTAATGTGTTTTATTTTAATCCTTTTATACGTAACAATTGCTGTCAAAATCAATAATCAAATTAAGGATTTACAGTCTATTTTCGATAAAGACAGCGATTTTTTTCTTTTATATACAAATTATGAATCAATTTACTTTATTGATTAATTCAATTTATATTGTAATCAATTATTTTTCGAATATACGTATTTGGTAGATTAATTCTAAGTTTTTTT